CTTTTGTTTTGAAAAAGTTATATGCATTTATATTATATAAATAATATTTCAAAATTTTTTGCACCATACTGTATATAATTTTCAAGACTCTGAAAAATATCAAACTGATATTAAAATAATATTAAAATAATATTAATTTATAGTAAATTTAATATATACAATAAATTATAATTTGCTTATAATAAAATTAAATAACAAATTAATATTGAAGTAGTATTAAAATAATATTATTAAAAGTTTTAATAATTTCTAAAAAATCAATAAGATTATATACACTATTTTAATTTGTATTTTTATTTTAAAAAATAATAAAGTTATTTGATTTTTTTATATTTAATAAAAATTTCCTTTATTAATTATAAACAATAACCTATTTATGATTTCTTTAATATAAAAATATTATAGACAATTTTAATTTTTATAGATTTTATAATATATTTAATTTAGATTTACAGTAATTTTAATAATATCTGTTTTATTTTTTATTTATTATTTATTTTTATACTTTATTAAAAAATTTATAAATTTAATTATTGCTTAGTTATATTTAATATATTAATATTATTTTTAAAAAATTTTTTAATATTAATTAAATATTGATAGATAAGCAAGTTAATATTTAATTTGTTATATATTTTATATTTAAAAGATATTGTTTTTTTTTATAATATATATCTTGTTATATACAAATCAAATAAAGAAATAATATTAAATAATAAAAAAACTCTTTTCTATATACAACATTTTTCTTAAAAATTTCCTTTTATAGTAAATTTTTTTATTACCTTTCAATATCCAAAAATCCTTTTTACTTCTTTTATTTTCACTACAAGAACCTCAAGAAATCCAGAAAAGTATACTAGTGCATTAGGATAGAATCTCTGGTCAGGGAAAAGCAAGTTTGGGACACTTGCTTTTTTCTTGAATTGTATGAAGAAAGGTCTGTGGCAGTTACTCTTCTATAAATTTTTCTTGGAGTTCTTCTTATTTATACTTCTTATCAAAAAACAATTCTTATTAAATAACCATTTTTTGTTCTTGAAGAACTGTTTTTTATTTCAAAAAATCAAATATCATATCTATATTGTTTATATTGTCAGTTTAGGACATCAGCAGTATATATAATACTCACTTTTCACTATCACTCAGTACAATATACTGTATCACAAAAATCTAAAAATTTCTACTTAAAAAATTTCTTACCAAAAAACCATAATCAGTTTACTTTTGTTAACTAATTATCACTTCAACTCAACCAATCAAATACTACTAAACATCAAAACAAACTTATACAATTAAAACACTACACAATGATCAATATAAACAATACCAGTTTTGGTAACTATAATCAAAACAAAATTATACTACTAACTTATAAACCAATTATCTTATCAACTACCAACTATAATGACTAACCAAATCACATGTATTTTATTATCTGTATTAATAAAGATTATATTTACAAGTAGCAAAGAACTGAAGAGATAGGACAACGAGCCTGACCAGAGATTCTCTTGAGAATATAATTTTTTTTCTTATAGATTTTATAGTTGATTTGATTTTGTTTTAGTTCTAGTTACTTATATTTTTTTTCCTCTTCTCAAATTTTTTTTTTCTATCAAATTTTTTTTATGTCTTAAACATTTTTTTTTCTAAGTAGATAAGCATAACTACTGCTTGGCCTATATTTAGTAACAATATTGGTTTAAAATTTTCTTTTCAGTATTAGCTATTTATAGTTTTAGTGGATAGGTTAGCATTAAACTTGTTATATGCTTTGCATCCAAGAGATGTTGATTCTTTATAAATGTATACTTTGTAATATATGAATAAATAAAGAATTGATGTTTATATATAGAAAATAAAATAAAATAAAATAAAGAAATAATATTTTATCTATTGAAAAAACCTTTTTAAAAAAATAATAAAATAAAATTATTCAATAATTAAATAAACAATAATTTTATAAAAAATATAATATATAAAAAAATCCATAACAAAAAATTCATATTTTTTTTTGATAATATTTATTTTAATAAAAATTAAATAATTCAATCAATTACATATAATAAAAAGCAAATATCTTAATAATTATAAAAAGTATTGAATTTTGTTTAAACTAAAAAAATAATTTTTTAATAATAAATAAAATAGATAATTATTTTATTATTTATTTACTGTATATACAGTATATAGTATATTTATATTGTTTTGTTTTTTATTTTATAATAATTTACAAAAAATATAAATTATATTCTAAATTTATAATATGTGATTATAAAGATAATTTGCAATATTTGATTAATTTTATTTAATAGGTAAACATTATATTTTTATAAATTGTATTCAGAAATCTTATACTATTAATAACAATACATTTATTTCCCATATTTGCAATATTTAATAAACATATGACATCAGCCTAATTGTGGGTTAATAAAAAAAAAATTAATAATTTAACAACATAAGCTCGTTACAACATATTCGTTGATCAACCAATCATGTCTTTACTGATCAATCAATTACAAATTCGAATTTCTTCTATTTCTGTAAGCACAATCTATTGGAGCAAAAATAATAAAGTAATTATCAATTACGTAGGCAAAAAAACCATTGACATCATTTTCGCTGTATATAGTATACTTAGAATGGAAATATTATTAATTCAAAAAAAAATTTTTATATATGCAATATTTCTATAACCAACATTTAAAAGATTATGCTTGGTACAATTGATATATCAATTACGAATGTTTTTAAAGCAATGCTATTATTGAAATTATTTTCTTTCTTATATGTATTAGGCAATGTAATTTATGATATTAAATTCCTCTATCTCAAAACATGAATAAAAAATAATTATATTTTTTACTGCTCAAACACCTTTATTTAGATTCTTATTCCTCTTTGGCATTATTCTCTTACTTTTATTCCCTAAATTGCTTGTTCTATTGGAAGTAGAATTTCTTGTTATTCTCTTCTTTTTGGTGGTTTCATCAACTGCAGAAACTGAATTTGGTGTTTTTGAAGTGTCGATTTCTTGTCCATTTTGTTCCTCTTCACCACTGAGCGATTCGCTACTTGTTGATTCATCTGTATAACACCCGTACCTGCCTGATATATCGATTTTTCTTTTCAAATTGGAGGACGATGTAGTGTTATCACTGTCTTCGGCTGTCGCACCGGATTCGTCTTTTTTCCAACTATCCACAATCTTTCTGATTCTTTTACTTTTATGTGATACGCTACGTTTACTTGTGTGATCAAAGAAACTATCAATGGATGTTTGGATTAAATTCTTTTCGACCTTCTCAGACTTATTATGTAGCAAAAGAATGAGAGGAATATCATCGCGTAAAAATACTTGATATCGGTAAAAAAATTTAATGTTCAAAATGAGATATATATGAACCTGTCGTTCCATATTTGTCTTTATAACTGGTAAAAGAGTTTGATCGACTTTCTCTTCTGACCATAATAACTTCTCCATCAAAAAACTAAAGTTTTTTTTAGAAGAGATCAATAGAAAGGAACAAATAATGATTCAAAAAATTTAAATATACAAATATGCCTAACTCTTTGAGTTCTTCCGTGTCGGGAACGCCCCATTGAAACGGAACCCTTGAATCTTCAACCTGAGGGTTAAGAAATGCATCCTTTACGTGCCGATTAGGGAAATTCTTTGATAAAAACAAACTATTCATCCTTCGTCTCTATAAGTGTGACAAAAAAATTAGAATGAAAAAAAAAAAAAATCCTATAATCAAGAACAAAGTTAATTTGAAAACTTACAAATTTTTTTTTGAATTCACTTTCGGAATTATCTGGCACGTATTCTCCATTTTGAACTTCAATCCACCAATCTCTAAAATTCTCTAATCCATCCTCACCAGGGAATTCACTTAAAATCTCCATGGCGCTAACGACACCCACTCCAGGCAAGCCCTCAGAATAATCACTACCAAGTAACATTGCGAGTCGAATAAGTTTCTCACGATCCAATTTCAACTCGCATTCAAAGTCCTGCGCAAGGTAGCATTCAACGTATTTTTGTCTGTCAAAAAAGTTTTTATACACATTTGTTCCTCCAAATAAGAACACATCACTATCATCAGTAATTATGCCATCAACTAATTCCAATCGTAACAATTCCGCGCATTGAGCTTCGGCCTCCATTGGTGCATTTATAAATGGAATTCCAAATAATTCCAAAAGTTTCTGACAATCGTTAATCATCAATTGAGTAATACCATCGGCATCTCGTTTTTCTTTTTTTTGCTGTTCATTCAACCGATTAACTTCTTCATTCAACTCTTTTTGTATCAAATCAATATCCTTATTCTGTAATTCGGATAAAAATCTCGCAAACTCTGAAGTTTCTTCTTCCATTTGCTTGTCTATATCCTCATCCGAACTATCTGCGTTCTCATACATAGCATACTCGTTTAAGATGTCTCCTTGATCCTCTTTAGTTTTCTCATTGCTTGAGAATTCATCAGAAATAGTTAGTCCCTCAACTTCTGGTTCTATTAAATTTTCACTAATCGGTGATAATTCTTCATCATCCATAGGCTCAGATGTTATATTAACGCTGACATTATTTGATTCCTCTCCAATTTCAATGGTTGATTCATCATTTGCTAAAACGAGATTGTCTAAAGATAATGATTCGATAAATGGTGCGTCATGATTTTCTTCTATTCTAAAATCCAAATCACGAAATGATTCCGCGATTTGTGAAGAAGCCGAACGAATACCGGCAATGAGATCAACCTCCCTATCTTCGTCATTATTCAATGATATTCCGTCTTCTACATCTGAACTATTTGAAGTTTGATTTTCTGATGTTAGTAATAATTCTCTGGATTTGCTTTGAAAAATCAACTCATCTTGATCCAACTTTTCTCTTGAGGCCATTTCCTCTGATATTACTATCTCCACAAAGTCTTTATTTGACTCTGCTTCGTTTTCCGGGCATGTGATTTCTACACCAGACATGGAATTCTCAGTTTGTCTACTAACCAATGGATTCATTTGAGTTGCTTCATTGTTGGTTAAAATTTGAGATTCCAAGTGTTTAGAGTGATTGATTTCCCCTTCGATTTCCATCAAGTTATCACCATTTTTAAAATCGATTTCACGAAGAGATTTCTCTTGCACAGAACCATTAAGACAATCAGTTGAAAGATTTTCTTCCAGTATGAAATAGCTGGGCAACCTTTCTGAATAATATGAAGCATAGATAGATAAATTTGTTTTATCACAATCTGGTAAGTGGCAGTCAAAATGTCGAGGTAGAATCATGGAATCAAGATTAACATTTTTCAGTTTTATCTCACGATGCTTTATTGATGTAGTGAATTGTTGTGAATCCGGATGCTTCAATGCCTCTTCCTCGTATATTTCAACGCCATCGGATCCCGGGTCTGATTCGGAGATACTTCCAGAAGATATACTATACTCTTTATGTTGTACATTTGAAATGGGTCTATCAAAATCTTCAAGAGTAGAATTCGCTAGAGGACTAACTTCCCTATCCTCTTGAGTGGTAGATTCAATAGTTATTCGAAATTGTTCTGCAGCCCTCAAAAATTTAAGCCAGAATTTTAATGCCGCTCTCTTTTTATCATCACCTTCTCTTATTTTTCCTAACTTCTTTAATGCCAAGGCCTTGTGCTCTTGAATCTCATCTTCGTCCCATTCAAATATTGCCTTTTGTATCATATCTTCATGATTTGGATACTCTTCTCGAAATTCGGAGATAATTTGCGAAATCCAAAGAGTATAAAATAGTTCTGGATCAGAAGGCTCGCATAGGTAGCGACCATCATTCATACTATCAACGGAGTCACTATCAGAAATATAAATTGGAGAAGAGGTTCCCTTTATTGATTCTAATGCCCGAAACTTTTCCATTACAGAATCGATTGTCTCTTCGTCATCGACATAGGCATTTGAATCTAGCATCAAATTTCCTGTTTCAATTTTTACAACCAATAAGTTAATCGAAGACTCTACAATACGGTAAAAAGTGAAGTAGTTACCATCCGTATCGAATCTATCCTTTTCATTATCGGAGTAAAATGTAGCGTCATCGTTCACATCCTCTGAACTACAAACATGTATAGGATAATCAAAATTCGCCTTCTAATCCCTTTTTGTTTAGTTGCATTTTTTGACTTACTGTAATACGATTTCTTCAGCTTCATTTTCTTCATTCTCCGTTCCATGCTCTGATCTTCCTTCTGATTCTGAACTATCAACCAAATTCAAGGGCTCCTCCATAGTGCCTAATCCCTTAATATCCTTTGAATTCAATATGGGACCCTGATCAGACATCATCGTATATCCAGTACCTTCATTCTTCACCAGAACATATTCCCGATTACGTTCTGATGCTATTCGCACTGGATTTACATTTTTAGCATTGTCCGTGACATCCAACATTTTCTGCGTTAACTCATTCCGTTTAACAAGATTTACTATCTGAAGCTTCGAAAAATCCATTGCGGTGTGAGAATTATAGTTAAGGGTAATATGAGGCAACACAATTGTGAAGTTTCATTCGGGCAAAAGTGACATTAGAATTAAAGGATATGGAAGAATTATTGACCATTTCATGGTATCTTTCTGTAGATGTCAATCTACTTTTGAGTCGAAGTTCACTAACTATTTCATATTGTACCTCCAGTGGGAGCGATTGGAATGCTTCTGAATGTGTATTAACATCTTCAGGCTGCGATGTGAATTCCGAATTAATCTCGTGAAAGATTATAGTGTATTCACGGTACATCAAATATATCAACTTTACCTTATATTTTTTGATATATCTTCGAAGATCGTCCGCAGTTGCAAATCGAGGGTCTTCTTCTGTTATCA